CAAAAGCAATTGCCCTACAGTTTACAACCATATGGTTAGAATTTGGTAAATGAATATTATGCCATCATAAGTTAGAAGACTAATCTTCGTAAGTCTATTTCAGAAAACTTATTCAGAGTTGCATTCTGAATAGGATTGTAACTCATTTAGCTTAAAGTTTTTTTCTAATAACAGACAAGTCTATATTATCTATATTACACTGATTATGCAGTAAAGCTGTGGTCCCATGTCCTTTCTTGGCTGAAGATAACACTGGCTGAAAAGATTATAACCCCTAGACAGCCCTATTTTTCCTCATGAGAAGTTACTGCCTCCTTCAGATTGACCTGCTGAACTGCTTCTAAATCCACACACCAAAATAAGATGGTCTTTTCTACCAAATTTTTTCTACCATTTTGATTGGAAAAGGCAGGCAGGTCACATGACTAACAGACTGGAATGGTGGTATCTCCACCAGAGGAGAAGTGATGAATAGCTCCAGATTGCTTGCAGGAGGTAGTCTTTCTCCTGATACAGCTGCAGCTGGGGCATGTGGGCACAGCTTAAGACCAAAAATCAGAAAATACAGATCTTTCTGTAAAATGTATCTGTTAATAACTTGTATACTTTATATTGCCTCTTAAAGATAGAGAAGAGTCATATACCTAGTGACATGCATCAAAGCCGCTATCTGAGATGAACTACAAAGGCAACATTCTTCTATTTCCTTGACACATTCACATGTATAGTAGCAATATTTTAGGCACCTTGCATCTTGAGGCAAAATCCTACCTGACAGTTAGTTGTTAACAGCAGGGATTTATCCCAGTTTACATTTCATCCTAACTTTTAAAGCCAGGATAATTATAATCCATTATTCCATGTTCTTAGAACTGCAGATTATGTTAAACATCACTTAAAGAAAACCCAAGAATTTTGCCATGAAGAAAACATGGTACATTCTATTTTATGACAATAAATCAAAATCCTTGCATTTAATTTTTATCTTTGTTCTGGATAACCCATTTGTTTCCAAAGTTTGCGTGATCTTTGGACTCGAGAAAAAAATACTGTACAGGTATGTGTAGATAATCTGTAGGAATCAAACCAAATTCCAAGTATATTATTTATTAACTTGCAAGACAGCAATAATGATGGCTGTTGGTGTTTAACGTTGGGATACAAACAAAATTTTTCTTTTCTCCAACATGTTCTTCATAAGTCTTTACTCATCTGCTTACAAGCCCATTCATTATCGGTCTCCCATAGATATCTAAAGATTGTTTTTCATTGGTTTAGGAAGTTATTCCATCTGTGGACTTTCCTTCAGGTAGCAGAGTAAGTCTACTTACTGACTTCTCTTTCAGGGTCTACTTCATGCAAGTACTCACTATGAATGTCTGTGCCCAGTACGAAGGCTGGTGCTTTAACAGTCATCTTCTGTGACACAGAGTCATCCATAAGTTTTAGTACAGGTTAATAATGTCCAGGAGTCTTTTCAGTGAGAAAAATGAGAGAAGTGGAAAAGAAAGACCTATCTACAAGAGGAACTATGCAAGCTCCTATCTTGTGTTTGCATACACAGAGACTCTGCAAAGCATTTATATTTACTGGTTTGAGATGAAGGAAAAGACAGACTTTAGAATTAACCTGAAATGAGTGCAATATTCTTAATGTCTTCCTACAGGACGTAACTGTTGGCATTCATCTTCTTCTGAACATGCAGCATATATAAAAGTAAGAACATCTCAGGACCCCCTGGTTTATAGCTTGTTGTTTCCAGAACCAATGGAGTAGAAGGCCTCTTCAAAGCTCATCATCAAGCACAAGGAATTAAAAACTGTCTAGTCACTGTACTAACAATCAGTCGATTTCTTCTTCTGAATAAAGGTACTCCAGACTGCCAAAAGCCAGTCTTAAGCTTAAAAAACTCCTATTTGAAATCTCTACATAAATGACCTTAAAAGATCTGTAATGCCAACCATCCCTCTTAGTCTGTTTTGTGTGGATGGGTCAGTCTCTCTAGGCAACCATTCCAGCTCTTCTTGAGGTGAAATCCATTCACTTTAAAAAACCTAGAGAAGGAGGTTACCAGTCTTCTGTCAAACCATTATCTGTAACATCTGAAATAGTGGCATCTACGCATTTATTTATTAATTCTTCTTGTGAACTAAAATTAGATAGAGATTGACTTACCTGATGCACACAGTCTAAGAACTGTAAGAAAACAGGAGCAAATCCACTACCCTGACAATTGAGAGTCAGATTACTACGCTGACTGAATTTATGACCAAAAGAGAGCCATTCTTTTTCCACCAGCATTCGGAAGCCTTCAAGTGTCCTATAGAAGGGATCACTGAGTAACTGCACCAGGGATACCACCTAGATCACAAGACAGGATATATTGTGTTAAGAGTGACAGAAGTTAGGAGAACACTTTAGTAAATGAATATAAATATTCCATAATCTGTTTATAGTTCAAAGAAACAAAAGCCTTCATATAAACTCAATTACAAGTATTTTACCACATATATTAAGTATTTTTATAAAACAAACCAAATAATATTTCACATGAAAAAGCTTCAATTAAATTGAGACTTTACGATACCTGTAGAAGTCAAACCTGAGCAACTATAGACTTTGGAATTAATTATAATGCTTACCATATTTAAATTACATTTGAAATAAACCCACTTTTATTAATAAAATAAGGATAATAAACATTTATAAAATAGTATCAGCTACTTCAGCAAAGAAGGTGTTAAAGAATTTGTCCTGAGGGTGACTTCAGAGTTTCTGCAGTGTTGCCATGCTTACCAGACAATTTCAACCTGTTTTTACAGACAGCGTCTCAGGAGATGTTAAAATGCAGCACAGACTTCTTTCACTTCCAGCTATGTATGTCCACTTTTCTATTCTTCATTGTTTGACAATGATTCCAATAATTATGTTAACATTCTTTTGTGGGTTTGTTTACCTGGTATCAGGACACTGGCTGCACATGAAGTTTTTATTTACTAGAATTATTGATATCTGTGCTTACCTTCTGAATTATGAAGCAACTACATGGACACAATGCATGCATTAAATGAGGCAGCGGGGCTTCATTCACCTAATTTATAGCTTGTTTCAGAAAGTTATCTGTTGTGGTGATCTGTCCTTGCAGCAGGTGTTACAGTCACTTTGGCACATATTTAGTTTTCTCCCTGTGCGTGGTCTCCTAACTTCATTTATGGAAAGTGAGAGGCAAGAGAAAGAATTCCTCTCCTTCCCTCCTGTGTTTAAAGTGTACTATGCTTACAAAGATAAATGAACAGTTGTGGCAACTTTCAGCTTTCATTCTTACATATGGTCAGGTGCAGGAATG